TTATACTTTGCGACTGAGTGAGTCACTTTTGCTGCATGAGCCGGAGCGAAAAAACGCAGAATAGTTTCGAATGCTGCCGGGGGAGTACTTCCAGATTCTCGTGTTTTTTAAAGGATTTCTACCTTCCTTTCATGTGTTTGGACTTGAGTTCTTTTATTTCCTACTGTCCATGCTAGATTGAGCCAACATGCTTTGATGATTCTGCTTTTCTGTAAGGTGATGTTTTTATATTTACTTAATTGTCAGCAGTATTACTGACTCACTTATGTGCCAACAAATATATAAATAATGAATAAGTAAATGAGTAAATAAATCGATAAATAAACAAATAAATAAATAATATCAATTGCTGTTTTTTTGCCTCAGTTCGTGCAGCAAAAAATTTTTATAAGGACGCTGAAATGAATTTCACATTTCACATTTCACGGCGCCTTTTAGTTTGTTTCCTTTGAAGGCACTGAACACGATAGCCGGAGTGTGGAGCGGTTCTGATGACGTCATAGGGCGTCATTGGTAGAAGTGCATTGGGAAGTGGTTGGTACAGTTGGTGGACCAGACCCCACTGAGCGCCGTTGATCAAAGCACCTCCATCTATGACGCGCAGTCAATGGAGTGTGGTCCACCATGGCGCGCAATGACGTCATAAAACCGCTCCGCCCATTGGTGAGCTAGAAGAACATGCACCATTATACGACTCACTCTGTATCTCTTTCTCCTAGTACCGTAGATATAATACCTGACTGGGATATTCCTTATAATCGCCATGTCCGACTCTCGATGAACCTCGGCGTTTTAGTGTTCTGAATGGTGTAGCTTTGGTGAACTGCACAGAGGTTGGTACCAACACTTCATTGGCTTCCTTCAAATCATTCCCCGTAGAGGATCCGTGCAACCTTATTCGGATTGAAGTGTACAATCATCACCGATAGGCGTGGACAAAATAGTTTTTCGACCTGATGTGGTTAAACGTCGTAAGCAAAGTAACAAGAAGTGGCACGGAAACCACTTTTTTCTCTCTTTTCCGTCGACGTTGGAGAGTGCTCCACAAATCCGCTGACGAAACCACCCATGCTTTACTTTCTGTACTCCATAGCTGAGCTCGAATTAACCCTCAGAACGACCCCTTTAGCTCTCTTGCGCAATCTAGCGCTAGAACGTGCCTGCAACTGAAGGTGAGGCATAGTTTCCAAAAGAGGCACCTCTCCGGAAAGGAGGAAATCACCCGGTGAACGGTTCCGTAGTAGAAATCGTCCATTCGGTTTCAATTTTCGCAAATTGCTTTGAAGCCAGTGGAAGAGGGTGCGAAATCCGTTTGGGAGTGGGAGGGACCATTCCATTTTCCTCTTCATTCTTAAGAATAAGGATAAGAGTTTTCCATGACACGAAATCGATTTATTTAGAGTTACTTCTGATAAGGACCGGTTTAGTGTGAAAGTACTCCTAAGATGCTTTCGGATTTCGGTCTACTGTGGTCTAAAGAAATGGTCCTGAACTAGGGTATGACTATCCATTTCCTAGGCCAAGGATGTAGGAGCCTCAGGGTGGATGACCACATACCATAAATAGCAGTATGTGCGTGATGTAGGGCATACACCTGACCTTATCAAAGGTATACTTGGAAGGAGTCGTTCACCTATTATCTTATCCATTAGATTTGAATTCCAAAGCAGTGCTCTCTAGTTCTACGTAGAAGATAACAGGGAAGCTCCTCCTCCCTCCCGAACTGGAGCTCACCGTAAGATGGGTAAGAGAAATGATGAGCATACCACGAGCGGATCTGCCTTGATAATTCACATTGAGAGTTATTGGGTCATC